TCGTCCCACCAGCCTCGGCCCAGCAGGTAGCGCCTCAGCCGGGAGATGGGGTGGTCCTGCTTGTCCCAGTAATTGACCTCGTCCACGGAGCGGTAGGCAGAGCTGTCGTCACTGGTGCTGTGGTGCCCGATCCTGCCCGGGGGAGGGGCCCAAGGTCAGTGTGGAGCCCCCTGGAGAGGGGGATGGAGGGAGGGACAGACCAGGGAAGAAGAGTTGGGAGTGGAATAACGGTAAGGAAGGGGATCCGGTATGGGGCGACAAGGCATGTTCTGTGGAAGGACAGCGATCCATGAGGAGGCTGCTAAGGTGCTGGCAGAGATGTGGGGACAGGCAGGCACCTGTAGGTCATGGCCTCGATGAGGAAGGGCTGGTTCTCTGCAACAGCCCGCCGCCGGGCCTCCTTTGTGGCATTGTACACGGCGAACACATCGTTGCCGTCCACGCGGATGGAAATGAGGCCGTACCCAGGGCCTCGCGCCGCTGTGGGGACAGAGGGGAGCTGGTCAGGCCGGGGCGCAGGTGAGGAAAATGCACAGACCCAGGAGGGAAGAAGCAGGGGAAGTGGGAAGGAAAGAAGGCAGAGTGATAACAGGGGAGGATGACAAACCAGAGCGCTGGCTTCACTGGCTCCTGCGACCAACAGGTGCTGGACACCACGGGGCTGGGGGTGGGGAGGCGATGAGGGGCATGGGGAGCGGCCAGCAGGGCCCGTACCAATGCCGTCCCCGCGGTACTGCTCGGAGGTGGGCGTGGAGATGGCGTAGCCATTATTCCGGCAGAAGAAGATGATGGGGCACTCAAGCGTGGCGGCGAAGTTGAAGCCGGCGTGGGCATCCCCCTCACTGGCTGCCCCCTCGCCAAAGTAACAGATGATGACCCTGTTGGCATTGGCCCGCTTGGCCGCGTAGGCCGCCCCCACCGCTGCAGGGCGAGGAGAGGGCGGTGAGCAGGAGGAGAAACGCACATCCACACACCCCAGCCCGGGCTCTGGGGCTCAGGCCACTGTCGTCAAGCTCTGGGAGGAAAAGAAAACCCCGGACCTCCTGACATTCCCGCAGCACCTGCCCAACCCTGTCTTCTCCCTCTCAGCTGACTGCAGCCTGCAGCTCCATCCTCCCAGCGGCTCAGGGCTCAGGCCAAAAACTTCAGCGGCATCTCCAACTCCAGATTTTTTTTTTTTTTTTTTTGAGACAGAGTCTCACTGTGTTGCCCGGACTAGAGTGCCGTGGCATCAGCCTAGCTCACAGCAACCTTCAACTCCTGGGTTCAAGCGATCCTCCTGCCTCAGCCTCCAGAGTAGCTGGGACTACAGGTTCAGGCCACCACTCCCAACTGATTTTTTCTATTTTTAGTAGAGACAGGGTCTCGCCCTTGCTCAGGCTGGTCTCAAACTCCTGAGAACTCCTGAGCTCAAGCGATCCTCCCACCTCTGTCTCCCAGAGTGCTAGGATTACAGGGATGAGCCATCGCACCCAGCCCTGCAACTCCAAAATGTTCTGTCATTCCCCACGTCTACTCCACACCACCCTGGTCAAGCCACTGTCACTTCTCGCCTAAGTTACCGAACAGTCTCCTCACTGGCCCCCGGTACCCCCATCCGCTCTGCATGGGGCAGCCAGAGGACTCTGCTGACATGTGACCAGGCCAAGTCTTCCCACAGCAGACTCCTCCCCACCCCACGGCCCCTGGCTCCCATTCCACTCTGGGTAGCAGTCAAAGTTCCTGCCCCAACCGATCTGCACAATCTGCACCCACCCGCCACCCCCCGACCTCTAGGACCTCTAGGACTTTACCTCCAGCCACCCTCCACACCTGCTCACTCCACACCTGCCCCGCAGGCGCCTCCCTGCTTCTCAAACACACCGAGCACACACCTGCCCCCAGACAGCCACGTGGCTCCCTCCCTTGCCTCCTGTGGTCTACGCTTCAGTGTCACCTTCCACCCGCCCCAGCACCTGCCACGCCCTCGCTGGCTTGGCTGTTCCCATAGGACCCGTCAGCCCTGACACACTCCTGGTGTCACTTCTCCGTATTCACTGTCTGTCTCCCCACGGTGGCAGCACCAGGAAGATGGAGGTTGTGTCTGTCTTGTTTGCTGCCCCTAGAGCGGTGCCCAGCATACTGCAGGGACTCCACACATTTGCCAGTGAGTGACTTGGCGGGACCCACATGGAAGGCTGGAGCAAGGCCCAGCCCTCATGGAAACCCTTTAGCTCAAACGCCCCTCCGCTGAGAAGCTTCCCTGCCTGCCGCCCACCTAAGAGGCCTGAACTGCTCCTTGTTCCCAAACAGAACACCACAAGCCAAGGTGGCGCCTCACACTGCGCCGGGCACACCGCTGAGGCCTGCGAAGAGCCTGCGCTGACCTGCAACCAGACTGCAGGCCCCAGAGGGTGCGGAGCGGGGGCAGGGGGCGATTGCTTGGTCTCACTGTGTGGGCGCAGGCCTGGCACCTGGTGGGTCTGGCTCCCAAACAAGCTCCTTTAATAGAAGGGGCTTCAGGGCACCTAGGGTAAGCTTCGGAGGAGTTTGCTTGACTCTGAGGATGGAGGAAGACAAGGGTGAGGGCCCAGAGCCTGGGCTCTACAGTGACACGTCCATGGTTTGAGTTCCTGCTCCTCTCTCCCCCTGCCATGTGACCTGTACCAAGTGCCTTCCCTCTTACACTTCAATCTCTGGCTCTTTAAAATAGGAACAAGAGTAAATATTAACCTTTACCCCCCTGGCCATGGCAAGTGTCCTGAGACAATGAAGCGAAGCAGCGGCACGGTGACTGGGACCCGGTACGTGCCCAGGAACACCCTGGACGTGTTCGTGAGCAGAGAAACGGGCCAGGCACAGTCGGGAAATGCAGAGTGCGGTCGTGCGGGTGCAAAGCCGCGGAACGGGCTGGGGACAGCACCAGAGTCTCCCTTTGAAGGGTGGCAGACAAGGGGTATGTGCAAAGTCTGGAGCAAAGAACAGGACTCTGACTGGCGACAACCCAGAAGCCCCTCAGGAGGGAGAAACGCTGAGGCCTGGACAGGGTGTGGCACTGGCCTGCACGTACGAGGCCCAGGGCACGCGTCCTCACCCTGAGGGATCTGCGTGGCCAGTGGAGAGGAGATGGTGACGAAGTGGCGTTCCTTGCAACCGTAGTGGACGGGCATCTGGCGCCCCTTGCCCAGGTCACTCACGTTGCCGTAGCACTGGGCCATGAACAGTTCCAGGGGGTAGTCCCGGTACATCAGCACGCCTAGGAGGGGAGCGGGGAGCGGTGAGCCGGGTGGGCCGTGCGGGGGTCAGACCAACGCCGTGGGTGACCCAGGGTGAGCCCCCTGCCACCAGGGCTTCCGGTTCCCTGTCTGTACAAGGCAGCTGGACTAGAGCAGAGAAGGCAAACGTGGGTGCTGTTCTCGGAGACCGGGCAGGTGCCAG